CCCCCCCCAATAAAAAATACTCCAGGGCCGCTGGATGGATGGATGGCTGCGCTCAGACCCCAAGCGTCACTTTCACCTCTGTATGTGTGTGTATGTCTTTAAAGCGCAGGGCATGATGGGATATGTAACAAGTAACACATTCCAATGTACCAATACTCCTACAAATGGCAAATAAAGCTTCATTTAATTTCAACAACGCGATTGGCTCAGAGGGAACGCTGAATTGGCCTATGGCAATGCAGTACTGTTTGTTGTGAGTCCCTCTGGCTGTTCGCGGTCTGTGCAGGATGAAAAAAAAACAACCAGCTGTGTTTATGGACCCTGCTATATGCTGCTGGCGGGGGGGCATACAATCAGTAACCCTGACAGAGATATGGGCTGCAGCGGACTAGTCTAGAGGGAGATGGTGGGAATGGGGAGGGTGGAACTATGGAATGGGCCACAAACATCTGTTGCCTGTACATACTGGGTCTTTGCAGCAGGTCCTTCTTAATGAAAATCTCATCAAACCTCTCATTAGATCTCGCTGAAGATCACATTTGCTCTCGAGTTTTGCATTGTCATAAGCGCTTCCCAGCGATTCAGTTCAGTAGTCGGCTACCTCTCCTGTCCCGCTGATCGTTTGGTTAGCCCTGTGTAAGTAACCCCCCCCCCCCCCCGTGTCACAGGGAGGGGTATACGCTTTCCATGGGCAAAACCCTAATCCCAACATGACGACCTTAAACCCTACCCAGCCCTAACCTTAACCATAAGTAACCAAACAAAATACAAGACTTTGTATGTTTAGTTTTTTGATTGGAGCCACATAATTTTATAAAATTGAATTTCCCTTTGTGGTGACTGGAAAAAATGGTCTCCACAACATCAAAATAATAGGTTTTTATCACATTGTGGGGACCAGATGTCCCCACAATGTAAACTATACCTGGACCACACACATATACACTCACAGTGTCCCCAGTGAGTGAAGCTTTTGCCTTTACTATTTACTTCGGTGGTAATGTCCACAGGCTGAATTTCTCTACAAACAATAATGTGCCGGCACACTGTGAACAGCCCCAGGCCAACGGGGCCCTTTAATCCCCGAGCTGCAGATAGAGAAGTGACTGTATATTCAGCTCCATTCTCCCTTTGGGCAGTGCATGTAAAATAATGTTCCACAGCCGGGGAAATTAATGGAATGGACAGAAATATTTCAGAAATGCACCTCGCAATTGCCCCAGACTCTGAGTGCGTAAACTGCAAATGCACAAAATACAATTTAAGTAAATATGCAGGTTAGGGAATATCACCCAACGGTGGTTTTTTTTTGTTGTTTTTTTTTTTGTGTCCAAGTCAGGGTCTAATGGAGAGGAGAGGAGTCAATATGGAAACATGAAACATGAAAATCAGCAGAAATAATAATAAAAAACCGCATTTTTCAATTTAACATCCAGAAAATGTTACTCGTAGCTGAACGTTTTACCCGCCTTTTGCAGCCAGTAAACATTTTGTGATGCTGAACATTGACGTCCCCATAAATTATCCACCAATAGAATTAGAAAGTTATAAGTTTTGATGAATTACAGTTATAAAATACTAACCGCCTGCTCCTGTCCAGGGTACCTAGTAGAATGTTTTACTATGTTCTGAGTGCACTACTGAGATTTTTAAGAACTTCTCTGAAACAGACCAGTGTTCTGTGGTCCGGGGGCCTTTCTCAGGAAAGAGAATTTCTCCTGTAGTGACACAGGTAGTCGAGGAGCAGTTTCTAAGCACAGGGGTGTGTGAATAGGCAGGTTTGGCGTACATTCTGCCAGAATCCCACGGGGTGAATTAGCAGACAACACCAGGGGGAGCTGTCCCAATGCAGATTCCCACCGCCGCTGACGCCTAGCTGGGGCGACCCGGTGAGATTCGTCCACATGTCCAAGCTTACGTGCAACACTGGGCAACATTCATACAGCGGCCAGACTGCAGGCTCAGATGTCAGTCTCTGTTGGCCATGTCCGTGTGCTTTTTTCTTTTTTTAAGAGCTTGTTAAAGTCATCTATAGAAAACCAGAAGAGAATGACGCATGACCAGATGGGAGACGATGGTACCATTCTGTTCAGGTTCTGTGGGCCCAGTTAAATTATTATCGCAGACCGCAGGGAGATGTCCTCCCTCGATGAACGTTTTTTTTTTTGGCTAAGATCTATCTTAATTAAACCCCGACTTGGGGTGGGGGGGTGTTCTGCATAGCGAAACCGGCGCTTCTCTCGCCCTCCACGGACGAGCTGGAGTCGTCACTGCAAAGCATGCACCTTCCCCAGCACCCAGTGCTGTTCCTCATCCCTGACAAAGCACGACCCCTACCACAGCTACACTGGAGACTACTACCTTAATGCTAAAGCACTAAATTCAGTGGATTGTTCCCAAATTTGAGTTATTAATGCAGTTTTAAAAAGTTAACACACATCATGGTTATTTAATTAGCAGTAACATATTAAGTGCAGCGGAAAGACAAACGAACCTAATTTAATGCTTGTGGCTTTAATCCAGATAAATCCCCAATTAGCATAACAGCTTCAGTCCTTTTTGTCATCACGGCTCATAAATTATATGAGCAGCAGGAAGGAAATCTAAGGCGAGTTTGTACCAGGTAAACCGGAATGAGTCTGAAATCAAAGTTGTTAAAAAGAGTCATTCCTTCACCTTCAGTTTCAGTTTAATTGGAAATTATGTTCATCAATTATTTTTTATCACGTCTCATTTAAATGCTGAACCTCAGAGATGCATTTTAATGATTTATTATTAAGGCCAGAGATAGATGACGTAAGAAAAGTAGTCTTTCAATTTACCAACAGAAATTGTGCTGTTAATTAATGATTGGAACCAAGCCTGCGATCTTCGCATGGGTATTATTCACTGGTTAATGCCATAAAACATGCTAGCTGATTGGCTGTCCCTGCGGTCACCTGGTGGATTGGCCCACCCTCATTGGTCAGCTCGTTGGTTCAGCTACCGGTCAAATGATTTCAGTAATGGTGCAGAGAGCATGAACCACATGTGGGATGTGACAGTCGGCGTGGGTACAAGCATGGCAGTGGTGAGTTTATGGCGTGCAAAATGACATTTCATGGAATACAGCCAGCGCCTTATGAGCTGCCATCAGGACTAAACTTAAATTATAAGCTCAGAAGACCCAGTTTGAAATCGAATTTGGAAGTAATTATACGTAATGTGATTGTTATTGATTATTGTTTGCACGCAGCTTATTACGTTGTATGGTGACCTTGGGGAAGTCCTGTTCTTTCTTTTTACTACGTTACTTCCCCTCAGCGAGTGTGAGGCTGCGGACACTGCGGCCTGTTCCCCACGCGACCTGGAATCAGTCTGACTCTTGCTTCCCTCTGCTGGCCCTCAAGGAGGGGAAGCAGCCGGTAAATGAGTCCTGTTAGTTTTTTATTTGACAGATCGGATCGTTCTAAAGGTGGAGCAGAGATGGGATGGGATGGGATGGCATGGGATGGGATGGAATGGGATGGAATGGGATGGGGAATCATGCATTCCCAGTCATCTGCTTACTTGTTTATCAATCTTCCCTTCTTTTGAACTGTCTGGCAATTAGGAATCATTGCTCTGTTGTAAAAAGAAGGGTAGGTGGAAGTCTTATGAAGGAAGGAAGGAAGGAAGGAAGAAAGAGAAAGAAATGGATAAACAGATAGATCTGAACAGTATCCATACTGTTGACAATGAACAAATTTAATGCCGGACCAGTTTAGTGGTTCAGAGGCTGAATCGATCTGATGCGGCCACCCACTGACAAACGAACAAACATTGACTGTAATATGACACCATAACACAGAAAACGAGCCCAGCTCCAGGAAAAACAATTGCAGAGATGGCGATGTCTTCAGAGCGCCTGGCTCACAGGCTCACCGCAGTCCTGCATTTTTGTTCTGCTCCTTTTTTGATCTCAGTCATGTGATTTGCTTTATCCTGGGCACTTCCTATAGGAGTCGCTGGGGGGGGGGGGGCAGGATGACTGCCAATTGTGAATTTGTGTCTTAAAAAAAAAGTGACCAAGATTGGATATGCGAAAAACACTTTCCAATGTACCTCTTCCCATAGCAAATACAGCCCCATTACATTTCATTTCATTTCAGTTCATTTCATTTCATTTCATTTCATTTCAGTTCATTTCATTATCTCATTTCAGTTGTTACTGAAAAACACACTTCCTGCCGCTAATGTTGGCCGATTCCCCTAAAGTTCAATTTCTGCTCATCTCATCGGCGCACCGGCTTCTGTATAACGCGCCTCGACCCCAGCCTGACCACTCCCTTCGTCCAGCCTGCAGGGAGCTGTCCCCCCCCACGCCTGAGAGGACACCCAGTGCCGTGGTGCAGGTGGCGCTCGTCGATGCCCAGGAGCAGAGCCTAGCCCCACATTCCTGGACCGAGGTGGTTGAGGTAGGTCTTCCTCGGCATGTCCGAGTTCTCTCCATCGCCCTCGGCTGTGTCACGCTGCCCCCGCCAGGCAGGAGGCTGGCACAGCAGCAACATGCTCCCATCAAGTGTGAGCTCCCTCTTTTTTTTTTTCCAAAAATAAAACCTCCACAGCAATCAGTGGCGGTTAAGAGACTGAGCACCGGTCACAGAGAAGTTCCTTCACGGTGCATAATTTCCCTCCTCACCCTGCGCATGCTGCCCCCCCAACGCACAAAGGCCGGCTTATTTCCCTCCGATTTCATTTTCCAGCATGTTTTTATTTAGACTGGGGGAGAGACCTCTCCAGTGCCCCAGCCGGTAGGGGGGGGTCAAGGGGGGGGTCCAGCTCCCATGCTCCTGTGATCCAGGCTCCCAGTCCCTCTCTCTCTCACTGTCTTTCTATTGCTTTTTCTCTCTCCTACTCGCTATCGCGGCAAAACAGTCTCAGTCGGCACTTTTATCAAACAACCCCCCCCCCCCCCTCTTTGCTCCGTCCGGCACCAAACCGAAGTTCCCAGAGTCATAACGGGCGCGTTAAATGGACTCGTGTTTGCGGATGGCGAGGAGGCGGGTACGTACAAAGGTCTCCGTGGCGTTTTCCGGGAAGTGGGTCGAGTCACTTTCATTCACAGGGCTGCGAGTGCATGCTTTCACGTAATAAGCCCCGAGTTACTGTCTACCGCCGTCAGCTGCAATCTATGGGAGGGTGAAAAAAAACAGTGGTGAAGTGTTTTGCGTTCTTGCTCGACGTTTATGGCGGGGGGTCCCTAAAAGCTGGGGGAGGCAGCTGTTCTTTTTTCTTAAACTGAGTGGGGGGGGTGATATTAGAGGGACTAACATTTGCCCCACCCTGTCACTCGATTCCCTGCAGAGCTCCGACCCAACAGCTGGGAACAGGTGGGGAGGGCCGAGTCGGCGGCTGCTCTCACAGCATTTGCAAAGTGCCCCCCCCCGACTGCCAGGACTGCGGTCTCCGTTTTTCTTATTGACCGTGTCCTAAGGCGCTTACCTAATGTCTCCCCGATGAGATTGGCCCCCTGCCTGTGGAGCCTGAATGGTCATTTTGGGTTCCCAGGCAGAGGGATGGGTGGGAGAATGACGGCTGTGTATGTGGGCACGTGTCGGGGGGGGGCAGCACAGCATGCCATGGGGGGCGGAGTTTCCTTCCGCATGTCATGTCAGCTCCACCCACCTGTGGTCTCAGAAGGTCATGCCGCCAGAATATACACACACACACACACACACACACACACACACACACGCACACACCATCTGAAGAGAAGTTCCCTGGCATTCAGCGACGTATCCAGGATCTCGGGGAGACTAAATGGGCTTTTGGTTTCCACATCCCGCGGATTGGTTCCGGTTCTGATTGCCCAATATGCTGGTAAGTCCACTGGGCATGAGCAGAAAGAGCTCGGTTCATCCCTGGGGCAGCCTGGTGACTTTGACCGTCGCACTGGGACCGTTTGGACCTCCAGCGACTTTGCATGTGTCGTTCTTGTTATTTTTTATCTCCGTCCTGGAATTCGGAAGATGGGTGAGTCTGGTCCTGGGGGGGTTAATGAGGCTTACTGGAGATGGGTCATTACAGAAGGGACCCGTTAGACAGGAAGTCGCACCGTTCCATGGTTAGGTGCTAATCAATACTGGCTGAAGCCCTTGGAGAGTGGGATGACCTGCTCCCGGTCTGGTTCGCCTGTCAAATGCGGTTTATCGCTGCACATTTGCCCATGCCATTGAGAATTGCCTGAACCGATACTGAGTGCCATGTCCAAGCAGGGACCCTTCCGGTTGAACGGTATCTCTAGCCGTAGCCGAAACCCAGGCCAAGATGCTTCCTCCAGTAGCCCCGCGTCTGACTCGTTCCTGGCTTCCAATCTCCGGATCCAAACCTGCCAGTGGACGTCCGGGGCGCATCGATTCCGCAGCGATACAATTAATCACGCAGCTGCTCACCTGCAGCAAAGAAATTAATTGACCCTCGCGGTGACGGGGTGATATTTCCTTGATGCTGATGGACCACTGTCTTGGGCCCTTTCGGGGGGGGGGAGATGTTTGTGGATGAAAATGACTTTTCGTTATCTGGCCCTCCTGATTCCCGCAGGGCCGCATTCCAGACGCTCCCTGGGCACGGAGCACAGGAAAAGGAAGTCTCACTATAAACAGGCGGCGTTTGAACACCACGCAGATTATCACGCCGCGTTATTAAGAACGCCAAGTGGCCGGGGGGGTACCGCCTTCTCAGCACCACCCTGATGCAGTTGGGCGGGGGGGAAGAATGTCGGCCTTTTTAACTCATTACCCCCTCACTGCATGAAAGAGTACATTTCCTGCTCCTTCTAAATTACCCTGACCCCAGAGTGTATTTGCCTTTCAGGGGTGCGGTTGTTCCCTTAAAAACAATTCTGGCAGACTGATCCACAGCTGTCCATCCCCCCCCCCCCACCTCCTGGCATTGATGGTTTCTCCCCCTTTCTTACAGGGAACCAGGGACCCCCTTTTCCTGACCGGCGTGACTTTCCCCCCCGGATACCCCATCTGCGAGGAGACCCGGGTGAAGCTCACGGTGTACGACGTGAAGGACCCTTCCCATGAGACCGTAAGCCCGGCCCGCCTGGAGTCCCACGCCTGACAAACAGCAGGGCGTCTTTTTTTAGACATCCTAAAGGGGGGGGGTGTATTTAAACAGAGGACAGGAGGAATGCTATGCTGGGATTTGTCTCAAGTGCTCTTTTTTTGGCCTGTGATGAATGACATATTGGGCGTCCAGGGAGATCCCGGGCAGGGTGAGAGAGGCGCCGCTGTGCCGATTCACCACGCTGCTCCCCGACTTCTTAAGCAGGGTATGCATAGCCCCCCCCCCCGACGCATGTGCGGGGCTGACCGCCAGCTACGCGTTCCGCAGTGGAAACGACGGGCACCCATTTGGCCATGACATCAGCAGCCATTAAAGCCTGACATATTAATGAGAATAACTAGCAATTGTATATGGCTCTCCCCAGCATTCCTGCAGCGTCGGCTTAGCTTTCAGCTTGCCGGTCAGTCATTTTTAACGGGGTGGAGTTAAGGGCCCCGGAGGAAACCACAGCTTTCTTTCTCAACTGTGTTTAAGCTGTGCTCACACATACACAGGCATGCTCACACACACACACACACACACACACCCTGCTCACGGTTGCGGTGTCTGCGGCGGCAATATTTCCCACAATCCACAGGGTACGTTTTCTCCATAACTTAACTGCTCTTTGCATTTACAGCATGAGAGTTTTGGGGGGGGAAAACCTGCTGTTTTACTGCAAATATCCCAACATTTTAGCTGCATGTCGGATGCTGATAACAGTATGGAAATACACACGGCAAGGACAAAAACATGAAGATAATGATCAGATCCTCAGACTCTCAGTGCAAATTGGATTAGTATCATCGGATGCCTGGAAAGAGTCAAATACTAATAATGAGTAAAGCGAGCTCTCTGTTTAACCTGCCTGCTGTGCAGTGCTCCATGCCACAAATGTGCAGCTGAAGCGTGCCATCTGCGGCTAACCCTGCAACAAGCGTGCTAGGATCTGCCCGCAGCCTCGTGATGCAACACTGGCTTGCTCTCCCTGTGTCCTCCCTTCCCCTCCCCCCGAGTGTCTCTGAACACCCGTGGTGCGTACCTGAGTTAGAAACTCACTGATTGTACCCTGCCATGGACTGGCACGTGTCCCAGTGGTAGGTCCTGAATCACCGTGGCCTTGATTGGTCGATCGGCTGTTCTCGACAGACGCAGGCTGCATTTAGGGGAGGTCATTGCATCTGTGTGTTCCCCCCAAGGCTGTCATTTCCGAAATCATATGCTGGACACTGGCGGAATGTGACCGACTGCCAGCTGAAAACAGTTTTTCCTCTTAATGGTACACCGTAGCGACACGCTAATTGTCTGACCGTAAAATGCCCGTCCTGTAAGTGTTACCGAGAAAACAGTCACATTCAGGCTTTCAGAGGGAGGTGCGATGTCTCTGCAAACTGTTTCTTCTGCTACAAACGGGAGCCAACGCTAGTCTGCTATGCTATTTTCCCGCCATTGCCTGGAGCAGCTGAGCTTGGTGGTAGTGGGGGAGTGCGCCCCCTAGTGAGCGAGGTAGGCTTAAGGGGGGGGGGGGGCGGGGAATGGCGCCAGCTGTCATCTCCTCGTTTAGCTGACCACTTGATCTGAGGTGTCGTGGGGATGGCCTACCATTTAATGACTGTCACTTGTCATATTACCACACGGTGGCGGCTGCCCAGAAACCACTACAGTGACACAGTGGCCAAGTGGGATACCTCACACCTTCAGGGTTGAGGGTTCGAATTACAGCCCCACCAAGTGTTTTCCCTGTGTTACACAGGATTCCTTCTGTATGCATTACATATTACCCATACTGAGCATATGTGTGTTGCACTGGCATTCCACCCAAGGTGTTCCCCCGCCCCAAAAAGTGTTTAGAAGGATGAATATTATTATTAATGAATAACCTTGACAAATGCGGTACAGATGTAGAAGCTAAAACGTTACTCGTGGACTTTAAATATACTGCAGTGATTCAGTTCACTGTATGTAACTTAGCTAGTCAACAGTAGCCGTATCATCTATGAGATACAAAGGGCCTGTGAGGTCAGGTCCCGCCTTGAAAACCCATCCTCTCTGGGGATCAGCGAGCCTGTCACATGACCATCACCTCGTCAAGCGTCCCGCTCAGATACTCGTAGCCGGCCAAGCCGTGGGCTATCCCAGAGCTCAGAAGCCGGACGCTTATCGGCTGCCTGCCGGGTGCCGAATTAGCCGGCGTGAGACAGCCGGAGACGCCACTCGAAACACAAGGAGAAGTTACCTGACATTTTCACTAAATGCATTTCTGACGGAGATAAGACGGAACGGCCACGACGCTATTATTATCGAGACGGGTCCGGGGGGGTGGGCGCTTATCGAGAAGAGCGGGGAAGCCGAATCAAAGGGAAGGCGGGGGCTACGTTGAGGTGCTATAATATCAGACAGACGCCGCAGGAACAGAATGAAAGTCTGCGTGGAGCGGAATCGCTAATGTTACCCCACTTTCATTTATAGCTTTAGATGACACAGGAATCTGCACGGCAGTAACAGTTTCCGGTTTTTCACGACTTGAATTGTGTAAATGGTGATATACTCTCTGCGTGTCAGGGATGGTTTAATCGGTTTTAAAGAGCGCGGGGCGGCATCTTTATTCGGCAAACTTTATGACCGCCTTGAAAAGTGCCGGCGGGTTTTTACAACATCCGCGTTTGAATAATAAGCACACATCTTTAGTCCGGTCCGGTTGGCATGAACCTTATGGCGAAAGGCATGAGAGTGGCTGAGTGGCATGAGGTTACCAACGTCAACGTGAACTGAGAATCATTCCCATCGGGGGGGGGGTAATTGGACCACATGACCAGGAGGCTGGGGAGGGAGCATGTGGTTTTGCTGGGAGGGTGGGGTGCCATTTTCGGGGTCTACAGGGATGGGCAGAAGCTACCCACTGCGGAAAGGTAGCAACGTAGTGAATTGGGTGATTGACGGTTAGTCCAAATGGGATCACTGTGAGCGAGACGGCATTGGAAGTCCAGACCGATACATTTATCCATGAGCCAGGGACCGGTGGAGAGAATCTAACACCAATCATCTGACTCTCCCTCTCGAGATGGTTCCACGCCCCCCTCGGCCCAGCCAGCAAACCGATAGCGCCTACAGCCACGAGTGACGAGTCGAGTCACGGCTCCTGTCTTTAGAGAGGTGGAAGAAAGTGGAGGAGAATCGGACAGCCGAAGCCCGACAAGGCTGGACCCCGGGCACCGTGGCACCAACTTCTTATCATAATCGTTTGATGATGCCTTGCTATTTCCTCGTCATAATCGTTTGATGATGCCTTGCTATTTCCTCGTCATAATCGTTTGATGATGCCTTGCTATTTGTGATGCCCCAGTGCAATCCGCATGTGTCCTCACTCATCTACATGCGTTTTAGAAGTTCTGGTCATGAGATGTTATGGTGGCAGATTCCAGCTGACAGGGTACTTCTGCAGACTCTCCCCTCCCGTGGCTGTTGACGGCCGTCACCTTTTTTTCCCCTCGTAACGTCACGCGCAGGTGGCAGCAAAGAGTCGCTGAGCCACCTGTCAAATTATCTCGCATCGATCTGCAGTGAGGCCTCCCAGTTAATCCCTCATCTCGTGATAACAATGAGGCAGGACGGTGGCTCGAAACGTTCCCGCGTTCCGTGCTCCCTCTAGATTGATGGCAAGAGCATATGCCGAGGCTGAGAGTACATCCGGACCCCTGACATAGGTGTGGCATTGGACTGGTGTTTTGGGGAAGCATTAAATCCTGCTAAAATATTCCTAGTTGAAGGACAATTCGAATGAAGAAAAAGCTGGAACACAAGCATTTCCTGTGGTAACCACTGATTTAACAGAATTTTAATATACTGAAAATTCTGATTCCGGAACTGGGGGAAGAATCCGTTCCTAAATGCACGCTGTACTTTCTGACCTTTGCTTTTGGCTCCCTGCCCAGGCAGGACAGTAATATCAAAATGGAGCTGAAATGTTGGGGAGGGAGGAGCTTGTTGTGGTTATTATGGAAAACACATGGTTTCTCACTTACATGCAGTTCAGCTGGATGTCTCTCAAATGACTGTCCTCGTCCCCTTTCCAGGTCTGGTGGTTGTGTCCTGGACCATGTCCTCTGCGTCAGGCACAGTTAGGACAATGATAAATCAATGGCAGGCCAATGGCAGCCTGTCACATGATTTCCGTCACATGATTTTACCTGCCAGCCTTCGTCCGACACAACTTTTTATACCATCTCACTTTTCTTTTGTTGTTGAAACACCTGAAACATCCTTGCGTGCATCTTCCTGTAAAAATTTTCCCCCGTTTTTTGTCCCACAGTCTCCATCCTTTGGAGCTATTTCTTAAGAAAGCATGAAAAAGTATGCAGGGCAGATATCTGCATGGTCAATTTAGCCGGCGGCTAACGACAGCTCCGTCTTTGATTCTGCTGAAGAGACCCCCATTTTAATGGGAACGGGACCTCCTCAGATCCCCGCAGAGGTCAGCCCCCGCTAATGGCTCTTCGGTTATGCCCCCCCCCCCCCCATCTTACCGTCGTTGGACTGTCAGAGATAAGTCTTAAATATTAAAGTAAAAAAATCAAAGGCAGTCAATAGAACCAATTACACGAGTTATTCCGAAAAGACTCAGCTAAGATTGGGGAAAGCTTAACGCTTCAGACCCATGCAAGTGCAGAAGCAGATAACAGGTTTCTGTCATGGCTGAACCCCCCACCACCCCCCCGAGCCGCATCTTTAAGGTTAGATTTTTCTTTTCCCTTTTAATAAGCTGCGGCACCCAGTGGCAGGTATCCTTGAATGGCATTTGACAAGAAAACGGGTCCCCCACCCCACCCCCAGTGTGACTGAAAGCCGCAGCTGAAATGCGACCTTTGACGGACAGCGCTGGATTGAAGCTCCGCGGGGCCCATTGTGGATCCGCGCACCCGTCCCCTGCCCCGCCTGCTCCCCACGGTCGAAAGACGCCATGCCGGCAAGTTCTCCGGCGGCAA